CGAGAGCGCTTGGGATACCTTTCGCCGGTGGGGGGCGGGGGGCTTTTTTGTAAATTAATTAGCGAAGAAACAGGTGGCTGCAGTGTTTTGCGGTGGACTGTTTTGCCATGACGTGCGTAATTACAGACGATCACGAAACGCCATATTCTGTCTATCTGTGCGTCCCCCCAAGAGCGCTGCGGGTTGTAAAGAATATATACTTACCATACCTTCTTAACTTTGTGATGATGGTGGTCACATGACCCAAGGCCACCTCTTCATCTCTCCTCTGGCGACACGTCTCTTCCTGTTGGCCACGTATCTCAGAGCCACTGATCCTGCCCGTAGCCGACAAACTTTACATAAATCACGAAGTACCCTCTGTTTTACGACGTATTCAAAACGCCAGGATGGACCAACCCCCTCGGCATCTGAGACGGTGTTCAGAGTTTGGATGCCGTAGTCGATCCAAATAGAAAGGTGTTAGCCTACCGCGCATCGTTCAACAGCGAGCCATTTTGACGGGACTAGGGATTGTCCAGGCTGGACGTTGTCATTGGAAACTGCTTGTCACAAAGGCCTCTAGGAAAGACCTCTTGTGCTATCTCTTAACTTGCAAGCAACTGATGCTCACGGGGAAGGAGAGGCGAACCAGTCTATTAAGAGATGCTGAATTCTGATTAGGCTAAGAGGTAAGTATGCCTCCATTATGCTGACACTGTTTAGATATCATATGGTGAATACGGTGATCATGATCTCCTATTATTCATTTTAGCCAAGGGCTTGCGCTCTAGCCGTTGACAGATGTAGTCTCAATACCTGTCTTCGGTTCTTGTATTCCTAGGGCAACTCAGCTTTGTCGCCCACGGCTGAGATAGCAAGCTATTACTTGTACAAGCAGGGAATCTTCGATTACTTCACTGAACGGGTACAAGAGAATTATATTGGGTAGCTCAGGACTGGGTACGATAATACGACACCTTACACGGGCTTGGGCAGGGTGTCTGGTTCGAAGAGACCACAGGCCTTTTTGGTCTTGGCTAAGTAATTGGCCGTAGATTCAAAGACTCTTTGGATTAAATCGCAGGCTATTTTGGGTTTGGTAACTTGGATCATCCTTCAATATGTTGTTACTCCAAGATACAGGTATTTCTCTGATTTGCTTGTGGTTGCTACGGTTACAGGATCTACTTTGTTTGGCTTTCACGACAACCAATGAGGGTGACAGCAGATGCCAGTGGAAGACCTCCGAATTGTTGCCGTGTCTTTCTTTGAGATCTCGTGTAGCGTTGCACCGAAGAATGCTCCATGTCCATCCAGGTTTGTCGCAAGGTAGCAACGGACTTTTCAGGGAAATGGGGCATGATTTGTCTCCAGGTCAGATTCTGATTTTTCAACTGCCAAAGTGCGCTTCTTTCTCTGGGCGCTAGCAAAGTGTCACCTTTTGAAATGTACTCAGTATTCCGAGACTTCGAAGAGTATCTAGGCGCCGTTCTGCCTCTGTTCTGGGGCGTTGATGATGGGGCGGAATACACAGGTGAGGTGCTGGAGAATGGTGTCTGTGTACGGCGAGCTGCTGGATTATTATCTCGAGGTGCTCCATCTTCGAGGCTACGGCCATTAACCCACGATAGATCGGTGTGTAACTTTTTGCGGCTCGGAGATGTTGTGGGCTCGCCGACGCCAGCGCCCTCATGATTGTAAGTATCACCACTAATACAAAGGGAACTCATGTGATCGTAAGACTGAGCCTCGGTCTTATCGTCCTGCCCAGTATATTCGTCGTCGGTCGAGGGAGAGGGCCGATCATCAGGAGCGTTGGGCATCTTTTCTAATGCGGTACCATCGTCTCCCGTAACCCCTGGCTCAAGAAGCCTGGGGTCGATGAGGTCAAGGTCAGGAGTGGTGCGCACAGAGCTGAGGGGGGAAGTCTTAGTTGAAATATCGCCCATGCTACTCTCACTATCTGAGCTGACCCTGGCATGGACGCGATCGTTGTGGTCAAAGCCAGCATGCTGTTGGTTTACGACCGCGGCCTGCACGGTGTCATGAGATGGTAGATTGATCGTGGTGGGCGGGTGAGTAGCAACGGCAACTGGTTCATGAAGCGGAAGAGGCTGATAGTGTTGAAACTTGATTTTCTTCGGTGCTCCTCCTTCATCATTGGCTTTAACTCTCTTTTGCTGCGCACCAGCACCCCGTTTTCTCTTGACGGCCGGTTTGGGCTCTGGCCTCCGCCATATTGTATCTGTCAGGCCATGCACATTGTGTAGGTGACGACGAAATTCGATCTCAGACTCAAACGAAGCTGAGCAGCCACAAACTGGCTTCGTACTTGGCCATTCCATCTGAATGTGTGTCCTTTCAATATGCCCTCGTAGGCCGGTACTGTGTAACCAGGGCTTCATTCGTTTTTCAGGTGCAAGAGTTGGATCCCACAGACAACAAGGGCACTGTCCAGGGCGAATTACCGAATGGCGGTAGATGATTACTTCGTAATGTCAGTTATCCCAGCATTTGCGGTATTGGCTAGTGTGATCATGCCAATTCTTTTCATGGAGCCACGACATGTATTCATAACAATATCTTAGCTGGTGGGCAGCTATTCCCAGCCGGCGGGCAGTGGCGTTGCAAACACAGTCATGGATGTGAACCCTTCTCTTTGGTTTTTTCAGTCTATATTCAATCATTAGTATATCTCATACATTGTGGCAGGCGGCACTCACTCTTCGATATTATATTAATATGTATCGACTGGGCACTGACTATTAGTAGGAAACTCTCCCGGGAGATAAACCATATTGTAATCACAGCCATACTGTGTGAGCAATTGACTCCCGAAGAAAAGTTTTTAGTCATGAGTGAGTGGCTCAGCGGAACACAAAACCTCTACTATATATCCCAGTTCAGGCATGATCAGGGTCAGGGCACGAGTACATGCATCACTCTACAGTAATTCCTGTTAATCCTTTTCCCTGCTTAGGATTCGCTGATCGCGTCTTTCCCGAACCCACTAAGTCTGGTATCAATGGAGCTCCAACTGTCAGATACTAGTCAGAGTCTTCCGATACTTATTCTTATGGAAATTGACCATCTCAGCACTTTCCTCTTTCTCACATCATACAATGTGAGCCCGTAAGTTCGTCAATTCTTCTTGCTACAGAATGGCTTCCTCCCATTCAGCAGGTAATTCTTGAGACAGCTCAACCTCCCGAAATTGGCCATATCCTTAAAAGTACTCTATGTGACAAGTCTCTTCTTTCTCATCCAAAACATCACTAACGGTATCGATTGATGAACAGTACACTTAATAATATATCGGATACGTTTCCTTACTTCTATGGCCATAGATCTGGGATACAGGTACAGAATCATGTCTTATTATATGGGTTCAGCTACACTTCGCTGAGAAAGCAGGGGTTATAACTTACATTTGATTTCCTTGCCAAGAGACCAATGAACATCATGTATCATGGCGCGTTTCGAATATCCAGCCATTGTAAGGATGTTACGGAGGAAGATACAAAATCACTACTTGTCAAGCACCGCTTCTTGAGGACCTTTCACTGTGACATTTCTGAAAACGGGTTAATCCAAGGCAGTATCTTCCCAACAAAGCAGAATTTCCATGTATTGCCTGTCACAAAGATTATATTTAGCTAAATCCTCCATTAACTTAAGACTAAACAAAGCTCCGTCATAGAGAGCAATCATAAAAAGAAAGATACCTGTTACAAACTATGGGCAATTATGGTCACAAATCCTAATTCTAAATCTGATAATTGATCAGTCACTCCACATAAACTGGAGAAACAAGACCTGAAGATTCCTTATACTGTATAATTAGGGTCACGATTGTTCTTCAACCACTTTTGATCTATCCGCTATCTTATCTTGTAGGGTGCGTCTACAGAATAGAACAAGATCAGTTCAATATACTGCGAAATTATGTCAGCAAAAGGCCTGTATGAGTTAAAAATATCACAACCTACTCATCCTGTATCAAAGCCCCCTTACTTTCTTATATTTTATATCCGGTATAAGAGCTCCGATCCTTGCTCCAATAAAAAGGAATACTTGCAGTGCGAATACGATAAAGACTTTGAGTAGACTATAAAAAAAGACAGGACTGTCCCGTGCCCATATAGAGAAGATGATATTTCGAAAATTGTCTCTAGTAAAGTTGAACTTCTGTTTTTTAATATCTTCGATGATTCTATCCGCCGTTAAGGTCTTCTTAATCCACTGGTTGACATTAATTAAACCCATCACAGGAGGATACTCTATATACAGAGTATATCTTGCTCCGGTCTTCGACCGGGATTATACTTGTCATAGCTTTCTCAAACCCATAAATAATCCTCTCAGCAAATGCATTAATGGTTCTTACTGTGAGCTTTCCCTTCTCACTGAGTCTTTCCTAACCATCAGCAGAGGCTATGTGCCATCGGATGAAATCTTTAACACATATAATATCTGGCGCAGGGGTACCAGTCTTGAGGGTATAACCAGATTCTTCATATTTCTCTTTCACAAGATACCTGATGAACGTGGTTAGAACAGGCCTAGTTTCTAGCTTACTGCGAGGTCACTTACTCTGTATATAGGGTTACAGCCTCGCACTGTAGATTTTTTGTCTCGTCAAGGCGGTTATTTGTACTCCTGATAGAGTCTTCTTCTTCATGGGCTTGTGATATATACCCGGCAGCAAGACAACACTCACGGCGCTTCTTGCGGGCGTCTTCATTGCACCAAAATGATCTTCTACTTATAGTCAACGAAGAGATCAAAGTATGAATAATAAGAGAGCAGACATCTGTATCTGCATGAGACAAGTTGAGAAGACAAAAGGAATGAGATGTTAGTTGCTTGATGAGCTTGAAAGCATAACAGAGACATGCTCTTTATACCTTTGCCAGAGCTATTGTGGATAGCAACAATTATGCCAGGTGAATTCCGCCACTTGGGTCTTCCAACGCTCCATCAAAATTATGGTTGCGTCATATAAAACACGCATATTGGAGGAGAGGGTATTGTAGAGTTGGTCAATTCGGCATCATTATTGGGCTAATAGTACAAAATATTGAGGTATGAGCAGCTCAGGGCGCACGTGACTGATAACTGATCCCGGCCTGATTAGGACCTGAGCGCTCACTGAGCATTGACCGGTGATGAGAAATACTCAGTGAGCGACCCCCTGAGCGCCCTCATTAAAGCGGCCTCATCCAAATAGGGAAAGTCTCGTTGATTGTAGAAAATCAAGTCTGTATAGATACATATATACTAGTACAGTAAAACCCGGTTATAAGCAACACCCGATATAGGGAATCCTCCATTACAAGCAACTGGCCACCGTGTTCAAATTGCTACACCATACAAAATTGCTTCATCCTCCATTACTAGCAAATTGCTAAGATCCTGACCTTCCCCCATACAAAATTGCCTATATTGGATGCTCGGAATAGCTAATTTGAACGTCATTATTCAGGAATCATGCCAAAGCAGACCTCCAAACAAACGCGATGTTGCATTTCTAACAGCCAAAAAGCTGCTCTACGCACTCAACACCGGTTGAAGCCTCAGCTCACTAATATCGACCTTATCAAGTAGTTCGAAGCCACGTACAACCAGCGGATTACTCCCTCCTCCGTATCCCGTATCCTGTCTTCCCGATGTGATTATCTTGATGCTATTCCCGACTACCGATTGAATGATAAACGACGTCGAACAGAGTTGTGGCCAGAGCTAGAGGCAGCAGTTATTGACTGGCTTGAACGCGCGCAATCCTATATTACTATCTCACAAGAAGTTATACGCGAGAAAGCAAAGCAATACTGGCCGATTATCTATCCTGATAAGATGATGCCGTCATTCAGCAACGGTTGGCTTCGAGGCTTCCAATATAGGAAGAATATCAAGAATTTCAAGCAGTATGGAGAAGGCAGGGAGATAACACTGGGAGATAATGCTGAAGACCAGATGATCTTGATATGTAAAGCACTACGTGTTTACGCGCCTTGTGATATCTTCAACTGTGATGAGACTGGCTTATATTGGAGAATGCCTCCGGATCGTGGTCTTTCTACGCGTTCAATTCCTGGACGTAAGAAAGATAAGGCACGTATCAGTATACACTTCTGCTGCAATGCTGATGCCTCTGAGCGCCTTCCTTTATGGTTTATTGGTACAGCAAAGAAGCCTCGAGTCTTCCAAGCAGCAGGTATAAACCCAGAGAATCTAGGTTGCAAATGGCGAAGCAATCGAAAGAGTTGGATGACTACTGCAATCTTCAAAGAATGGCTTCTTTGGTTTGACCAGAGAATGGTTGGCCGGCAGGTTGCTTTATTATGTGATAACTTCTCATCTCATCTTGCTGCGTACGAAGAGGTTAAATCACAGTTATCAAATACTCTGATTATATGGCTGCCACCTAATACAACATCACGATATCAGCCACTTGATCAAGGCATCATCCGGACCTGGAAGGCTTACTGGAAACGGCAATGGCTGGTTTATATTATGACTGAATATGACCGGGGATACGATCCTATAACTACGATAAACCTTTTGCAAGTGCTCCGTTGGTCAATATCTGCATGGAATCTTGATTTGAAAGATGATATAATCCGCCACTGCTTTACACGCGCGCTTTCAGATGACACTTATAATCCTATGCCTGACTCTGCTATCCTACATGATTTGACTGCTAGTCTACAGAAGTTGCGGGATACTGCACGGATTCAAGATATGATGCAGCTTGACCAGTTCTTGAATCCTTTAGAAGAGCAGGTTCATGATACAACTACTGATATTGATGATGTTGTTCTAAGCCAGTACACTGCAGTTGAAGATGAGGTTGAAGAGGATGATGAAATGATAGAGCCTCTACCATTTATATCATCTACTAGGGCCCTGCAGGCATTATATGACCTCCGCTTGTACGAAGAACAACAAAATGATGCTAATCAAGCATCTCTACACTCGCTAGCATGCCAGGAACGTGATATTCTTCGAAGAAAGGTGTTAAACACGCAGCAAAGTGATATTCGTGGCTACTTTAGGTAGAATATTCAATATAAGGAAGACCTCGATATAAGCAATTTGGTGGCGTGTCTCATATAATTGCTTATAACCGGGTTTTACTGTAGTAGTATACAGAGGACTAGCCTGGCCCCACTTTCTCTGGTCAATACTAGTACGATGTGGGAGAGTAACTAGTATTGCAATCGTGAGAAAAAGTTCCGGATTTCTAAGCATATAATGTCTGGTATAAGAATATGAATTGAATTGACTTCCACTGAATCCCTAAAATGTGTATTATTGTGTCTCTTTGCTACTGCTTTCATTGCTTTCTTGTGTTTCTGTAACCTTGATTTAGCATTTCTTCCTGCGGCTAGCTACGGCGGTTAATAGCGGCCATCGGGCAAAAACTATTTTTAATGGCTAAGTACGCTCACCGCTGCCCTCACCGCATACTATACTTATTATATTAGTAGATGATGCTGATCATTTCTCTATGTACAGTATTTAATATCTATATTCTTGATCATGGGATATCCTAAACTTGATCTAGAGCTATATAAGACTGAGATTATTAATCTATTCTATCAAAATGTGATAGAACGGGTCGGTAAACCGGTGACCGCAGCCAAAGGCATCGGAATGACGTATTAAAGTGATCATGAGAGTCGTGAGGTCATTGATGGTGGTTCTGCATCCTATCGATACCTAAAAGATGTTGATTCCCTTGCAAGGGACTACTGATCCTTGATTAGTCTATCTCGTGGATATAGGCTATCTTTGTCATTATTAGACGAATCCATTGCGTTTGGTGGTTAATTCCTTATCTAGTTGACAGGCCTTCTACCCTGACAAGTAGATCCTATTACAAGATAATCCTAGTAATTATTAATTTTATAATAATATAGCTATAAAGTATCTATTTAAAGTATATAATAAAAAGATTATCTAAGACTACAGACAAGAGCTTTTATTTATTTATATATATGGTAAATATCGTATTATTCTAAGATCTATATAGAGAGAGTAGTTATATATAGATATCTAGCTAACTAATATCTTTTTATCTCCAGATACCAGTTATATAATATGTTGGAACGTCTACTCGTAGGAAGTAAAGAAAAGGGGGCAGAGAGTTGTATGTGTTGTATTGCTATCTAGGGGTTGCCCAGTGTGACGGGCTAAGAAGCCGGGAGGACTACGTAAGGTACAGTAGTTGGTAGAGAAGTTGAATTCGTTAGAGAAAGAACTATCTAATCTATAGATAGATTGGTCCTTCTTATAGATAACTCTTCTGGGAGTTTTTCTTTATAATTCTAGTAAACTCCTTTATTACTCTGGAGATTTCCATCCTTCTTACAGGTGTCTCCGGGTCAAGGTCCAGAACCAGACAGGTCGGAATATAGATATTCCGATTCTAGATGGCTGACAGGGCCTAGCTCTTTTTAATCACTGTTTTCTCTACCGTGACGCAGCTGGGCTGATATAGATTCTTTTAGACAAGGTAGGTAGGTGGGATTACACCAGTATTCATAGGTCTTAGTATTATAAAGTTTAGTTACTGATTCCTATATAGGTTTAACATATTCTTTCCATTTAATTAGAAATATTTTTTTATAGCTGTATTTTCCTTAAAACATATTTTTCTTATCTATGATTTTCTTGACAATATATTCCTTAGTACTGTCTCCCGTGATAATAATGTCCAGTTACTAATCAGTTACTTTTTAAATAAATAGAGGATCTGTAACAGCAGGTTAGAGTAGATTAATATAAAATACTAGATAAATTCCAGGTGATGTATCCAGCCTGTACGCATGTATCCCAATCTGTTCTAATATTATGAACTTTATATTCTATTGGTCCAACTTCTTACTAGATCAGTTGGTTACAATATTTTTCAGATTTAACCAGATCTTGTCATTTTCTTTATAGCAGGGAGCAGGATTTTGCTGTTAGTTAATATATTATTTTTGTACTTCTTATACTACCACTATTATTAAATTAGTAATATCTCGGGCTTCTTAGAATTTACTGAGAATAGCTTCAGCCTGCTCTCGGGAATTCCTAGCCTAGTCATATTCTGGAAAATCTGCTTTGATACTTAAGTTTAAGGACTTCATATGGAAGCCGTGCTGTAAAAAAAAGAGACTTATCTCTATTAATATAGAATTCCAGTTATTTAAGACTAGCTGTACCAGGAGCAGTAATTTTTACTAGTTAATTTATTATTAATTTATAAAGTGTTATAGAAAAGTCTTAATAATTATAATTCAGTGCTCTGTCGCTCTATCTGTTTTAGGATAATAAATAATAAAAAGACATTATTTAATGCCCAGGGCCTTATACAGGGTTATT